AGTACAAGAGAGATTATTCAAATGGTGGTGGTGTTGTTGATGGAGAATTCGTATTATAAGGATATGTTTACATCATAAGCCATAGATAAAAAAGCGACCTAAAACAGCCAGGCCAGCCTGCCCCCAGTACAGGAGCCCTGTACAGTATCTTGATATGTGGTCATCCAGGAATTCTTTTGTTATATAATGCTGAAATATAAATAACAAAATTTATCATTAATATATATAATAAGCATTTTAAGAATATAATTTAGTGATATTAAGCCCCAAAAGATAATGAGATCATGTCCTTTGCAGCAACATCGATGGAGCTGGAGGCCATTATCCTAAGAAAACTAACAGAGGAACAGAAAATCAAATTCAGCGTGTTCTTACTTACAAGTGGGAGCTAAACACTGAGTACATTATAGACACAAAGAAGGGAACAACAGACACTGCGACCTACTTGAGAGTGGAAGGTGGGAGGAGGGTGAGGATCAAGAAACTACCTATCAAACAACACTTATTACATGGGTGATGAAATAATCTGTACACCAAACCCCTTGTATAACAAACCTGCACATGTACCCCTGGATCTAAAATAAAAAGCTAAAAAAAGAACATTCATAATGGTGTGCAACCATTGCAACTATCCACTTCCAGAACTTTTTCATCATTCCAAACACTCTATACTTCTTAAATAATAACTCCGCATTCCCCTGTGTTCCCAGTTCCTGGTAACTACTTTTCTATTTTCTTTCCCTATGAATTTGCCGAGTCTAGAATCCTCCAGTAAGTGGAATCACAATACTTCTCCTTTTGTGTGTGGTTTATTTCAGTTATTTATTTGTTTCATTTATTTTTAAGGTTCATCCACGTGGTAGCATGTATCAAAACTTCATTCCTGGCCGGGCGTGGTGGCTCATGCCTGTAATCCCAGCACTTTAGGAGGCCGAGGCGGGCGGATCACCTGAGGTTGGAAGTTCGAGACCAATCTGACCAACATGGAGAAACCCCGTCTCTACTAAAAATACAAAATTAGCCAGGGATGGTGGCATACTCCTGTAATCCCAGGTGCTTGGAAACCTGAGGCAGAAGAATCGCTTGAACCTGGGAGGTAGAGGTTGCAGTGAGCCAAGATCGCACCATTGAACTCCAGCCTGGGCAACAAGAGTGAAACTCCATCTCAAAAACAACAACAACAACAACAACAACTTTATTCTTTTTTACAGAGAAATAAAATTTTGTAGTATGTATATACCACATTCTATTTATTCACTTATTTATTAATGGAAACTTGGGCTGTGTTCACCTTTGGGCTCTTGTGAATAATGCTGCCATAGACCGTTGGTATACAAGTGCCTGTTTGTATCCCTGCTTTCAATTCTTTTGGGTGCACACCTGGGATTGAATTGCGGGATCACATAGGCATTCTATATTTAACCTTTACAGAAACCATCAAACTTGTTTTTCACAGTGGCTGTAGCATTTTACATTCCCACCAGCAATGCACAAGTGTTTCCTTTTCCCCACATTCACACCAACACTTGTTATTTTTTGTTTGTTGTTTTATTTTTTATAACTGCCATCCTAATGAGTGCAAATTAGTATCTCAATGCCATTCGGGTATTCTTAAACACTTTCTCTGCCAGGGAGCACCAAACAACACCAGGAAGCTATTGCAGATCATCTTGAATTGTTAGAAGGCTCTTATTAACTAGTACTAAATCTTGCCTCCCTGTCAGTGACTCTAATTGATTACACATCAGAGTCATTTGGGAGCTTTTAAAAATTTCTCTATCCAAGCTGCAATCCAGACCAATTAAATCAGCACCTCTGAGGGTGGATTCCCAGAATCAGCATTTTTTAAGGCTCCTCAGGTAACTTAAATATGCAGGTAAGGCTGGGAACCACTGCTTAAAGTTCACCCACTGGTCTTAGCCTCCCAACCTGTGATAACTTTACCATTGAGCTTTCTCTGACATCCTTTATTAAATAGCCAGCCTGCAATCCCCCATGGGCCATCCAGTCCTCCTTACCCTCCTAGATATTTTTTTTTTTTTTTGCCATGGACTGTTACAGTTGACATGTTACATACTGTCTTGTGCATCTGCTTATTGTCTGTTTTGCTCTCTGTTTTTCTTATAGCTGTTTCCCTAGGACATGCAACAATGCCTGACACAGATGAGGTGCTCAGAAATTGTTGAATGACTGAATATGTAAATCTACTCTTATTTCAAATGGCAGCCCTCAGATAGCTAAAAGTAGCTTTTGCATTTCATCTCTGGGCCTTCTTTTCTCTAGTTGAAATCTCTATACTTTCAACCAGTCTTCAAAGACATTGAATAATAAATACAACCATTATGAGCACAATATATCTCTCTTTCACTGAATCAGCAAGTAATTGAGCACTTACTATATAAGCCATCATCTACATATGTAATATTAATTCGTAGTATTACATGTACATTAATACATACTCTAGACTAGAGATTGTGCCAGACACTGGAGATTGTAGCGAAAAAGATAACCAAAGTCAATCTGTGGAATTGGGGCATAGACAACTGTCAATAACATAAGTCTTTTCAGATAATAGTAAATGCTCTAAGGAAAATGAAAAATGTTTGTTGGCTGTGGTACATTAACTGGTGGTTAAATTTAATCTGAGACCTGAATGACAAGAAGTCAGTCACTGAAGAATCATTCTAGGAAGAAGGCACCTCACATCCGGAGGCCCTGGGGTTGGAGGAGATGAGTTGCAGAGGGGCTGTGGGTCAGAGACTCTGAGAAGGACAGGGAAGAGAACCACCATCACCTCCTTTGTTAGTGCCTAACTCAACTAACATGACGTAAGATCAAATGAGTTTTTGGTGGCTACATTAGCCTGTTAAGGTCTTTTTCCTAAGTGTACCATTTTCCTCACTGAATTAAATCTTCCCTGTCTAATATATGTACTGTTGATAGTTAGAACTTAAGTGTAGAAGGGTGATTTAGATGAGCATATCTGGAATTTCTTTTCATCTGAACCCCAGCCAAAACAATCTATCAAACTGCCTAGAAAAACACTTCTCAGCTGAATGGAGGGACTTTCTCATTCTCCAACCACTACCAGACTGGTTCCTCATTCCTTTTGGCACCTTGTCTTCTGTGCCAGCTTAACAGAAGTTCTGGACAAGGCCAAAGCCAGGACTTTGCAGGCTGCTTCCATTTGGAGAGGGCATGCATCTTAATTTTCAGTCAAAAGAGCTCAGGAAAGACGAGAGAATTCTTGATTTTTGGAACTCTGTGTTCTCATTGGTGGGTTCACAGAACAAGCAGCCTCTCCCAGACCAGCCACTAACATGCTCTGACAAGTCAGCTCTTCTTTCCCATATTCAAATGTGGGGTTTGAGTCTAGGGCAAACTTGTCCAACCCACAGTCTGTCGGGGCACAGCCAGCCCAGGACAGCTTTTAATGCAGCCCAACACAATTTATAAACTTTCTTAACACATTATGAGATTTTTCTGCAATTTTTTTTTTAAGCTCATCAGCCATTGTTAGTGTTAGTATATTTTATGTGTGGCCCAAGACAATTCTTCTTCTTCCAGTGTGGACCGGGGAAGCCAAAAGATTGGACACCCCTGGTCTAGGAGTTTTAAGATTCTTTGAAACTTCATTAAAAAGAACGTTTTATTATACTTTAAAAGTTTTTAAAATCCATATATCTTCTGAATATTAATCTGCAGATATCATGCTTTCATTGAAAAGACATCTTCATTTTCAAGTTAATAAATCAAAATGCTGAGTTTACATGGGGAAGGCAACATTTGTAGACTAAATCAGATGCTGAAACTGACAAGAACACAAATTTGAACTGGGAAGACAATGACATATTGCGGGCACTAAAAGAAATGATCAGGGTGGTGAAAGGAGCCACTGAGCTTATTTATTGGCTACTATCTTTCCAACAGACTTCACAGAATCTGAATTCAATTTGTCCAGGTGAACTGATGGAAGAACAACCATCAAACCAGAATCTTTTTTTTCTCTGGGAGAACTTACCTGTAAGCAGAGGCTTCTGCATGGGCTGGAATGGGACACTGTAACAAAATGGTTTTGCATTCAAGTCAAGTAACTGTATGAATGCAAAGTAGCTTGCTCAGTAACAACTGGTTCAAGTTGCTACTGAGCAAGCAGTGGGCTCCTTGCTGATGTTCATAGAAGCCAATACTATGGCCCTGGTTTTTGAGGAAAAAAAAAAAAAAAAAAGGCTTCATTGTAAGTTGAATGGCAAGGAAGCAGGAGGCAAAGCTCAAATCTGTCTCCCTGAGCTGGGGGCTATGGCAGATTTTATAGGCAGAGAGTAATAAGGTGTGATCTGATTGGATCTTGTGATAAGTTAATGCCAGGAGGTATGATGTGACTGGATTATGCCACAAGGTGATGCTACGGCTTGATATGATTGGATCATGGATCTTGCCGTGAGATGTCCACTTCTTTATTTGGTCCCCATGCCTTCCTCCAAGCACTTAGGTTCCACCCTGTGGTTGCATGCTTGGTTCATCTGGGCTTGGTCAGTTTAACTTGCAACCTGGGGGTCCATGGCAACTAAAACACAACTCACCATTTTATACACAAATTTGGACCAGTTTGGGCTACTCCTGCAGTTACAAAGTTACTATCACTCATTCACTCAGCTTTTACAATCTAATTGAGTAAGTGCACAAAACAGGAATCAACCACATATGTCTGAATGCTAGTTGAACTAAATGCCCTGAAGGAAAGCCACAAGTGCTTGGATGGAAAATAGCTTGTTAATTCAGCTCTCTAAACCTCATACTCCTCTTACATATAGGAGCTGACCAGGAAAAAATGTTAAGTGACAGGTTCAGATTTTGGTGTACATTAAATGCATGATAAATATATGTGTCAGCAGCTGATGGTGAAGTTACCTTTCTGAAGGTCAATGATGAAAAGATAAATTTTCTTTCCTGTGTCCCAGACTTTCATTCAATTATTTGTGCTCGTGTGTGTCTTTCAGTTCCAAGGAGGGTTTCGGGTCAGTGGAGAAGGTCGTGCTGCTCACGTTTCTCTCAGCGGTTATCCTGATGGCCATCTTGGGGAACCTGCTGGTGATGGTGGCTGTGTGCTGGGACAGGCAGCTCAGGTGAGCAGCAGGAGGGAACCTTTTGAGGAAACATGGGAGTTCTGAGCCGTCCCTGGAGAGTTGGGTGTGAACATTTCCATTTTAATTTGTAATTAAGAAAGAAAGCATTGATGGGAACAATATTTTAAAAATAAAAGGAATGATAAAGGGATTGCAATTAATCCTACAACTCTAATACAACCAGTGTAAACACTTCAGTGTATTTCCATCCTGTCATTTTTTTTCTTTGTCAAATGTGTTTATAGTTGTGATCACTATATATACAATTGTTGAGAGCACATATAATCTAACCTCCCCATTTTACTAATGGTTTAGGGAAGATGTGGCTGACAAGGGACAGATCTAGAAATTAAACCTGTGTTTTTTGCACTTCTACTTCATCAGGCCCAACTTTGGCTGCAATTAGAACCACCTGAAGCACTTTTAAAAACTATCATCGTGGGGTATTAGTATGTCTCATGTAGTATTTTGGACATAGTTATGTCCAAAAAGTTTTATTTATTGCTAAAATTCAAATCTAATCAGCCATCCTGTATTTTATCTGGTAATCTTTGAGGGGAGAGGTGTTAACTCCCCAGGGTGCCTGAACTAACTGATTTGGAGTGAGACCTCAGCATCAATATTTATTAAAATGCATCAAATGATTCTAGTGTACAGCCTGGGATGGGAGCCTCTGGGTCATAAAAGGGTATAATGAAGCAGTTCCTCTCTAAGTAAGACATGCACACGTCTAACGATGATGCAAATAAAGTGTAAAAGCGCAATTCTGACCAGTGTTATAAATGTGAGTACACAGTAGCCAGTCTACTAGTGTAAAATGGTGGACTGTCTCTACAGTCACTGGGCACACCTTGAGAGAGTTTCCTGAGAATGCCCAACCAAGGACTGATGGGTGGGGGGGATTAACTAGGGAACCCTTGGAAGAGAGAGCATCTGCATTGGCCCTCAAAAGGGACCTGTATGTGCAGGGGAACTCAGATTAGCGCAGGGTGGCCAGAAAGGGGAGGAAAAAAGAGGTTTTGGTATAAGGTAGGTCTGGAGAAGTCAGGAGAGGCTGGACCCTGTTGGGTCTTCTCAGCCATGTTACAGAAGGGGAAACTGAATCTCATGGAATACGCTAAGCATGTGACATTTTCTTTCCTCTTTACCCCTCCCTTCTTTTCTTCTTTCTTTGCTTCCCTTTTCCCTGTTTTTTCTCTTGATCTCTTCTCCCTCCCCTTTTTCCCTTCATCCCTCCCTCTGCCTCCTCTCTTACATTTTTTCACTCACAGGAAAATAAAAACAAATTATTTCATTGTATCTCTTGCTTTTGCGGATCTGCTGGTTTCGGTGCTGGTGATGCCCTTTGGTGCCATTGAGCTGGTTCAAGACATCTGGATTTATGGGGAGATGTTTTGTCTTGTTCGGACATCTCTGGACGTCCTGCTCACAACAGCATCGATTTTTCACCTGTGCTGCATTTCCCTGGATAGGTAAGGACAGAACAATGTGCACAGTGGAGCTCCGTGTTGGAGACAATGACTTGATGGATATTGGGCAGTGTCTGCCTTTTCTTATTCATTAGAAGAAATGAATCTCAGAGAGGTAAATTTGGTAATTCAGTTATACAGTCACTCTCCAGCCTTTGCAGAGGCCCCCTTTTTAGTCAGGCCCTCTCTGGGGCACTGTAGATGTGCAGATTAGTAAGACCTAGGACCTGTGTGCAAGGAGTTTGCAATCTAAATAGCAATAGATGTCAGCAATCAAGTTTACTGTAGAGCTCTACATTTTATACTAATGGCATGAACAAAATTCCGAAGAAGCTGAGCATCACGAATGAGTACATCTTCCCAGAGGGCAACGGGGGTGGTTCAGAATGAAAATGCCCTATGTTTGAACATAACCTTTTCTTGAAAATATGTTTCTGTAACAATTTGATATACATATTTGTGTATGTGCAGGAATTGTGGAGACTCTTTTCCAGAAAGTTACAGATGATAATAAACTTCCCAATAATTTTATATTTTTCCGACCCACGTCTAGAATTTCATTCTTGTTGCATAATTTTATTCTCTTTCTTCATATTTGACTTCAAGAGACCTAATGATTTCCATCTTTGCCTCATTTGTCACAGATTTATGTATTTATCACTTGTATCATCACTATTCATTTTCCAATTCCTGCTAATTTACATTTCATCATAAAGGTAGAATGCAATCTAAAGTCAGATGATTACACAAACATATGCTGTTATCAATGCAGTCATATCTTAGGGGTTAGCTCTCAGAAAAATGTGGGGTACAAATCACACATAATCAGAATTACCAGTGACAATGATTTCTTACTGTCTCTTGAGCAGCCCAACAAACCCAAGTTTTCCTCCAGTCTTGAGATAGATCACTTTTTTAAAATTTATTTTTATTTATTCTTATTTATTTTTTATAGAGACAAGTCTCACTATGTTACGCAGTTTGCTCTCGAACTACTGTGCTCAAGTTATCCTCAGGCTTCAGCCTCCCAAAGTGCTGGGGTTACAGATGTGAGCTATTGTGCCCAGACAATCACTGTTTTTTTGAATTGACGACTAGGAAAAGTAGTTGACTGAAACTAGAGATTGTGGTATATCTAACATACAGACTTTTAAATGCTTTCCAGAGTCTTTCCAGAGAATTAATCACACTGGGGGAGGTACTTAGAGGCTGAAACCAGTTGAGGGGACAGCAGGTTCATCTCCTATTTTATGGGACATATGTGCATTGATTGGAATGGCAGGCATAATGGCCTGCTCTATTTAAATTGCTTTCTCTTTTGCTCTGTCAAGAACATGTAGTTGGATATGCTTAAGTTAAATGCATGTATAATGAGACTCCACTCTATAGCTAGAGATAATGACTCTGGTAAAATTGAACTGATGGCAAGCAACCAGACCCATGGCATGTAATAGTTGGAAATTTATGTTTATTAGCTTGTTTACAACAATCTGACTTCAGGACATGAAAGACTTTTAAAGACAGTCAGGATACACTGTATGAAAGTTCTTATTATAGGAAATACAATGTAAGGAAGTAGAAAATCTGTGGAAATCCTGCTGGGTAACCTGCACATGATCATTGTTAAAAATGAGTAGTGAGACTGGAAGTACTATAGGAGAAGGCCAGGCAGGGAAGATGGGGGCAGCTGATGTAATCTCAAGGCCTGGGTAAAAGCAAGAGTAAGAAAAAGAGCCAGTCAGCCAGGAAAAAAAAAAAAAAGGGAGAAAGCGTAGAATCAACTGTCCGATGTGGAGAGTTTGCTTTGCACAGCCCTGAGAGAAGGTCTAGAGGTTTCCTAGAAAGGTTTGGCTTCAGATTTATGCTTACATACTTTTCAAATCAGGAAAATTTTCCTGAGTAGCTATGAGTTATCATGAAACAGGATGAATTGGTCATTAAGAACCATGTGCTTTAGAATTGAAGAGATTTGGGTTCAAATCCCAGCTTTTAAAATGTTTAGTTCTGAGAATGGCAATAAGTGATTAAGCCTTTCTGAGTGTAAGCCTTTCTTGTCTCTAAAACTTGGGGAGGTAGCACCTATTTTGTATGACTGCAGTTAGGTATAAATTGGATAATCCATTTAAGGCATCACTTTGGCCCAGCTTGTCATGGTACTCCATGTTGGTGGATGTTGTTGTTAATGTCAGTTTCTTGTAACTAGCTGTACAACTCATGATCTTTCTCATCAAACTTGCACCTCCTCAGTGAATAGCTGCTCCAACAGCTGCATCATCTAGAAACCAGGTAGTTATTCTAAGAGCAGTCTTTCCTCATCTCCTACATTTAAATAATGAGAAGTCCTGCTCATTTTCTTTCCTAAAGAGATCCTAGTCTATTTCTCTCTATCATTTGTCCAAAGTAATATCATTTCTTGAATAAACCACTCAACACTTTCCTAATTATTCCCTCCAAATATGTTTTATTCCCTCCCCATCTACTTGTCACTCACAAGATCAAATAGTCATCTTTTTAAAATGCCGCTCTGATACTGTTGCTCCTTTGCTTAAAACCCTTCAGTGGCTATTCATTGTACTGAAGATCAAGACCAGACTCATACAGGGTTTTTCATCCTCTGTTTGCTGTCCATGTCCCCAGCTTCCCTTCACCCTCTTCCTAACCTCACCCCCAGGCCCGAGTCACCTTGGCCTTCTTTCTAGTTCTTTAGGCCTCTCTGCTCAGTCACCTGAGGCCTTGGCTTTTCCCTCTGCCTGAAAAGCTCCTCTGCCCCTCCTCTCCTGCATGTCTTTCAGATTTTAGCTAAATCTTCTCTTCTTTGCAGAAGTCTTCGCTGACTCCATCAAAACCATTTTTCTCCTTCGTAGAACTCAGTGTAATTATAGTTAAAATCAAGTCTATACTTTCTTCTTAAATGTCTTTCTATTCCAATGGGAGGAAGCTCAAGGCTACGAACTTTGAGCAAGGTCCTTGCCCTCAAAGAACTTGCATTGTTATGCGGAAGTTGACCATTAACCAGTCATTGCATAAATACTTATTTAGGTATTTGGCAAACAGAACTGAACAAATGGAGTGGTCAGCACATGCTCTTTGTGAAAGTTATGCCAATAATTGCACTTCTTTCTCTGACAGTGGATGTCAACAACTCCAATACCATAAGTGAGATATCAGATGGGGTTTCTTTTGTTTTATTTTCCTTGGGGAGCTTGGGGATCTTGCCTCCAGCTTGTCTCCAGCTTTCCCTGTCTCATAGTGCTGGAGGGTCCATCCTGAACATTGCAGGGCAATGTTTTAGCCTGGAAGAGTATGGTTTTATTTATCATCTAGTGTCTGTTTGGCTGTGTTCTTCCCATGCTAACAGTTTGGTTCAGCTGGGCTGGGCCAAAGCACGGAGTGAATGTCTCAATGAGATGTGATGTCCTTGTTAACCATGTTATTCCTGGCAGTATGCCATGTCCTTCTCTCTAGAGCTGCTACAAGTCTTCTGGGATCAGTCACAAGGGGTAGTTCCTTTGAACAAGAGGACTCACTTTGATTTGTAACTCCTCTCAGATGGCAGACTCCTGGATCAAAGCAAAATGTAGAACTCCTTTAGTATTACAAAATGCATTTTCCCAACTCCCATTCTTAGCTCACTGTGCTTCCTGGTGCTTTCAGAATTGAATTATGTTAATAAAAATTGATTGCCTCCTTAAAAATAATTTCCAAAGTATAATTAAAATAAATGCACCATCTAGTATGGGTCATAGGAGATCAAAAACTGCTTTAAAAGCTTTAGAGTACAGTTGATTTTTTAAGATCTAAAGTTCTGTGGTGAATAAAAACTAACCAAGTAGTCATAACAGAGTACTAGTTTTAAAAGTGAAATATAAGACAGCCATTGAAAACCATGAGAAATAATGACGCGTGTTGTCCTAGAAAGATATCACTGTTGTATTATGTTGGGGGAAAAAGAAGCAAGTGGCAGACTATAATGCTTAGCATAATTCCACTTTTATAAAATAAATATAGAGATGCATGTATCTGGGTTTACATGAGTGTGTGTGGAGAGAGAGAGAGAGAAAGAGAGAGAGAGAAAGAGAGAGAGAGAGAGAAAGAGAGAGAGAGAGAGAGAGATTGAGAATGAAAAAAAAAAAGAACATGAATGAATTTTCACCAAACCATTAACAGTTGGTTATTTGAGGGGTAGGGCATAGGGTGTAGTGCTGGCCAGAGTGGATGGTCAGTTGAATTGGGGTTGGGAGCCTTCACTTTTACTAATTTCTGTAATATACATTTTAAACTTCAATTTTCCCTTTGCTAGAAGTTACCTTCTCAAATGCAAGTCCATTCACAGTAGCATTTTAGCTGAAAATGTTCCTAGAATGGTGCATTCCTCAGTTCTCTGAGAACATTCTGCTTCAGTGCTGGGAGTTCCCTCTGAGGTCAGAACAAACCAGGGAGCATGGAAATCTTCCTGACCAGTGTGTTCTCTCTGCTTTCTCACCAAGCACACTCACTTCTCCCTCAAGGGAGCCCTCACCATCTCATGGGTGCATCACTCCCACATTGATCTTGGTTAGCCTCCTCCCTGTTCACAAGCTTGTATTTGATTTTTTCTAACAGTCCCTTTTCTAATTCTCACAGATTTTTGAAGTCACCAAATTAATAATACCTGAGCATTGTAAAAAAAGGTCATCAGTTCACAAGTAAAACTAAAAATGTCCCCAGTTCTTTCAATATCCACTTCCACAGCTGCATAACCTGAGGTAACCACTGTAAATAGCAACTGCCTGTAAATGCCAGTGATTTCATATGTAGTAAGCAGACTTATTTGAATATATTTTGAGTTTACAATTTAAGTATGCCCTTGAAGAGGGCTTGTACTATATATATGCCAGTGAATTACCTGAATGTAATGTTTTTACCAACTTGCTTATTGGATGATCTATTAGCAATGTTTCTTTCAGCAGCATGCGGCAGATAATAAATTGATTGTTCAAATAACTGAAAAGTCTGGCTTCAGA